TGTAATATTTACATTTCTTAATGCACTACTTTGTACAAACTACAAAACCATCATTTAAATAGGGCGTCTCCAACAGTTTTGCACCTGCCACCAGTTACGCAATCGCTCTTGTTAAATCACCCGCAAACCATGGTTCAGCCCCTCGCGCAAAATTCCAGTTTGCGAGCGCAAATTACTGCACGCAAAATTGGATCTTGATAAATCCAGCCCTCTGTGTATACAAAATAATAGACAACAAATGCTGTCTAAAGCCCATGTCACACCATGATGATTTATCCAGCGTATGCTCAACGTCCCAGAATCTTCTAAAACAGGGCAGAGGTCTGCGCCTGTAAGCAGTGAGTATTGGTAGGAAATAAAACTTCCGATGGAATCTTGGTGCAGGAATGCAGGCGTTTTCCTGCATCTTTCTTTTAGCCAGAACAGTCTGAGAAGCGGTCAAAATCATGTTTTCCCCAACACTACATTCCCCACAATGCAACAGTAACGGTAGACCACAAAGTCACAGCAGCCACACAAGCTGCCATGGCCTGTGGGACGGTTCTAATGGTAATTAAATATAATCCAGGGAGCCGTGGATAAACAATGAACGGTCCGGATCCGGCCCGCGGGCCTTGACTTTAACATAGCGTATTCATAACGAGTCCAAAACTTATGCATAACGCACAGCAGCATAATGCCCATAAAATGATGCACAAGCCAGTGTCCAGAGGGGGGCAGCGATGCACCCGGCCTGCATAAAAAGATGTATTTGATCGGGGTATTAACATAGCTGCTGTTTACCACCCAAAAAAATAAATAAAAGAAAGAAAAAAGGTTTGCAGTCACAGCAGATTGAGCGTCATGTCTGCTAGGAAGTTTATTGGCCGTGGGCGTGAACGCAGGGAGGATCCATCACACTCATCTTCTGGCTCACCCTAGGGATGAAGTCTGGAGGAGAACTCCTCCTGTGAACCCCCTTTATACCAAAACGCTGCCAATACGCCGTTATACAGTAGCTGGAAGTTAGAAACATGTTCAGCGCTCGTCTGGAACACGTCCGATATGTTGATATGCGTTGGAGAGAAGTTCTTGATAAGTTACGCAGAAGTTTTACACAAGTTACCAAGAAGTTTAGGATAAGCTAGACGCCACGACCGATGAGGAACTGACACTTAACGTATGTCAATGACCAGCAGTGTTGGGCATGTTACTTTGAAAAAGTAATTAGTTATAGTTACTAGTTACTTTTCCCAAAAAGTAACTGAGTTACTCCACAATAAAAGTAACTAGATACTAGTAAAAGTAACTATTGCGTCACTTTTGCGTTTCTCGCCCCCGTAACCCTCACAAACCGGCCCCGACCTTCTCGCCGTGTGTTTCCAAAGCCAGCTGAATAGAGCGGACGACAAAGACAAGAACCTGCAGAGAGTTTAGCATTTAGTGCAACACAACGTAAATGACATCAGGGGGGAACCCCATGCGAAGTTTTTTAACAGGGCATTCAGATCTGGCGA